AGTGCCTAGTATGTCAATATTTTGGAGTTGACCATTAGTTACAGTGTAGTCCCTGCCCTTAGCCCAGTGCCTTGACCCACTTATTTCCCAGCTCCACCCTCCGGCAGGATACCACTTCACTTCTACCAAATGCCTTCAGAATTAATGTCCCATTGTCTGACCCATAGGAGTGGTTAATGATCTTCCAGTCTGCCCCTTGTCTTGTTCTGACTGCTGATACTTAGCTTCTCCATCCACCCTCCACAGAGGTAGTCAGGGGGATTACTATGTCTGTAGATTCTCTTTCTATTCCTGGAGAAATCTTTTGATGCACATAAAAGTTATTTTTTTATGGTAAGTAAAATTTATATTTAGAATTAGCCCACTGGACTCAATTTAGATGATCCCAATTTTGTTGCCAACATCCAAAGCATCATAATCATGCTCTCCATCAGGCCTAATCAAAGTGTTGACCTTAGCCACATCAGTGTCATAGAGCTTCTTTACAGCTTGTTTAATTTGGTGCTTATTGGCCTTGACATTCACAGTGAACACAAGTGTGTTGTTATCTTCTATCTTCTTCATAGCTGACTCAGTGGTCAGGGAAAATTTGATGATGGCATAGTGGTCAAGCCTTCCTTCTTAGCTTTTGGTGTCGATTGTGGTTAGGCACACTTAAATGTGTTAAGACTTCCTGCCCGCCTGGCTTCCTGAGCGTTTGCCAGCATACCTGCTCACAGGAGTGGGCATATGTCTGTCCTCTCCACCAGCCGTGACCACTCCCAGATTCGGAGAAGGTGCCAGTTTGAAAAGTGCTAAGGGCTGCCTAGGTTGAGATCTCATGCCCTTCTGATGATACTTGTTTATCAGGCTGCAGCACACCTCTCAAGGTACTGCTCCTTCCTTTCTGGAGAGCCCTCCCTGACAGCCATCACCAGGGCACAGAGGCCTGGGGGCTGGAGCCAGGAACCTGGCCCTGACCAGACTGCTGCCCTGCAGGCGAACGTTTGCAGCTCCCTTGCTTTTTTCTTATCTCTTAAAAGACATCAGGGCATTTTTAATGATGGTCAGCCTTGGTTTTATCCAGCAGTGATCCTAAAACATTTTTTGGTAGTAAAAGAAATGTGTATCACAACTATCTAATCCCACCTCAGCACCTGTAGCATCCTCCAGTTAGCACCCAGGACAGCTGAAGACTCCACCTGTGCTGGAGAGGTTATCTGTGGCCTTTTGGACCTATCAGGAGTGTATGTGTAGTGAAAATTGTTTGCGTTCAAAAGGTTGGGATTTGAATTCACTCCATGCTCTTTGGTGTGTTAAAGACAGACTTGATGTCCTCCTTGTGAAGAGTCAAACTTTGGAAACCTCATGGAGCACATGTGCGCTCAGACACACAGGCTGCAGCAAGCTAGCACTGACCTGAAGGCCACTGTGGTGGTGTAGGAGCCATGGCGTCAGCCCCCTGTGATTGGCCACCCTGTGCACGCAGGACAGGGCCCACCAGCATGGAGACTGGGCCACTGGGAGATTTTCGCTGGCTGAGTTTTAGAGGTGCCTTGCCAGATCTCTTTCCAGTCTCTGAGTCTGAAGCTTCACTGTAACCTGTTCTGCATCACAGAACATGCTCCACTGATAGAAAGGAGTCGAACCTGGGTCTCCAACAGGAAGGTGTTCTTGTGTTGCTGCACAGTTCACCAGGAGAGACCTGGACAGCGTCCTCCACAGAGATCCCACCCCTCTGTTGCTTTCAGATTAGAACCGCTCAAGGCCAACCCTCAGTGGACTTTCTGAAGCTGTAATTCACACAGGGGAAGGATACTCATTTTTCCCCTGCAGAGTAGTTGGTGGGTTTGAACTGATTATTTAGAATTAATTCTTCAGGGTTTAGAATGAGGCACTGCACTGAGTAGTGGATTCCAGAAGGAAGATGTGCATGGGATGCTACCTCCACCTTCACAGAGCTTCTCGGGCTTCATCCATTCGGGTGCCCCCAGCCTATGTGCCACATGCAGAGTGCAGTTGGCCCAGCAAAGGGGTAGGTCAAGCCATTCCTGGCTGGCTGCCTGCTGTTGCTCACTGGGGCTGGGGGAATGGAAGAGCAGGTGAGAACCCCAAAGGAGAGGCTGGGACAGCCTACTACCCCATCTGACTTCTGAGAGGTCTCCCACCCTTTGTCTCATAACTTTCTCTTGCTTTAGATGGAGGTGTCGCCTGCTCTCTAATTATAGTGCCTGGCCTAATTTCTTAATTACTTTTACTGCAGCAGTATCCCAGCCCTAGGTCTACTAGGAGGACAGCCCAGGAGGGAGCCGTTCTCACACGAAGTCCAAGGGGAGTTTGTGCCTCTGGCCCAAAGGCAGCACCTTCAGGGGTTCAAATCCACTAGGCACCCCACTGGTGGGAGAAAAATGGGCCCCTGCCTCCCGTGTGACTTAGAGTCGCTGGAAGCCTGTTGGAGGGTCAGCTGTGAGTCAGTGCTGGCTTGGAGATTGGCCGAGGAGATTGGCATGTGAGGAAATGTGAGCACAGGCCACTGAGTAATGGATTCCCAAGCAGAAGCTTTCTCTCTGCTTCGGGAGGTACAATGCCAATTTTCAGGGGATCCATGTTTGGCTTCAGCACCTGTTGTCATGTGTGTCCCCAACCATGGGCTCTCTGTGCAAGACAGGGTGTCACAGTGAGCCTTCTCCTCCCCCACAAACCCCTGCTTGGATGTACTAGGCAGCATTTTACCCCTGAATGAGCCTTAATTGTCTTTAAAAATAATACTGCTTATTTTTCTTTCCAGAAAAGTTGTATCTGTCCACAGTCAAAACTTGATAGGAAGTAAAAAAAAGGGAGGCGATGACCCACAAATGCTAGCTTTGGGTGGAGGGAGCTTCCCAACTGATCCCTTTGCTCTTAACCCCACAGGGAAGTCCCACCTGGCTATCGTGCAGAAGGTGAACAATGAGGGGGAGGGCGATCCCTTCTACGAGGTCCTCGGCCTGGTCACCCTGGAGGACGTCATCGAGGAGATCATCAAGTCGGAGATCCTGGACGAGTCAGATATGTACAGTGAGTTCATTCCTCTCCACAGATCCCCAAACCTTTGTCCTGCCTAGTGTCCTTGATTGGGCACCTGGGCAGCACCTCCAGCATGCTGACACGCGGGCACATGGCCACAGTGGGCAGGGAGCAGTTGAGAGCCGTGAAGGGGGCAGCCTCTGGCCCCCAGCTCCTGCCCTGCCAGAGTCTCCTGCTTCTGGGTTAAGGAGCCCAGGGGAGCGAGTGAGAGGCACAGTGCTGGGAGGCACGTTAGAGCCTGCTCCTGAGTTCTCAGGGGATAGTTTCCTTAGCCAGTCTGAATTCAAGGTCTTCCTCTTTCAGCGGATAATCGGAGCCGGAAACGGGTATCTGAGAAAGGCAAAAGAGACTTCTCAGCCTTCAAGGACACTGACAATGAACTCAAAGTAAAAATTTCCCCTCAGCTGCTTTTGGCTGCTCATCGTTTCTTGGCCACAGGTGAGAGCTGGAGGGGGACCTACAGGTGTTGATGGAAAAACAGTCACAGGGAGAGAAGCATTGGGGTGAACATTTACAGGGCCCAGAGGCCCCCAGAAGAAGCCTTGGCTGTCTACTTATGCAAAACCAGTCCTTGTGAATTCCACTCAACTGATAAATTTAGGGTCACCAGGAGTCAGTTGACTTCCTGACAGCTAGTCTTGCAAACTTCTAAGAAGCATCTGAGTTTGTTTCTATAGTGACAGCTGGAAGCACCTGAGGGAACAGGACACCTCTTCACATGCCAGGGTCTTCACCCAGGCGCATACAGTCCTCCTCTCTTCCCCTCTTCCTGCATATGCAGGGAACTGACCCTCAAACCAGTGACATTTCTTTACCTTTCCCCTCGTCCCTAAGTCATTGCTTTCTTGGGGACCTGGATAACTGATGAAAACACCCCCACTTCGCTGTGTCTCCTTCCCTGCAATTTATCTGCCTTTATAGCCCTCACTTGCTGAAGGCATGTTCAATTCCTCCCCTTTAATTCTTCATTCTGTGGTATTGGTGCTGTTGATAATAATCATAGTGCCATTCAAAACACTTGCTAAAAATGCATCTAAGAGTGTATCTGTATTATCTCACTTAACTTCACAACATGGCCCTATTGAAATTTATATTCCCATTTTACAGCTGAGGAAACTGAGACACATAGAGGTCAAGGAATTTGTCCAAAGGCATACATTATTATATCAAGTGCAGGAGTCAGGTCCCCAGGGTTGGGCCTGACAGTGACAGAGCCACCGTGGCCCAGAGTGGCTGCTGTGGTTGCAGTGGAGGCATTGCACTGATGCTTGATCTGCCCAGGCACCCCTGAGCCCAGACTCAGTGTCAGGTCCTCCTCTCTCTCCTTTCGCAGAGGTGCCCCTGTTTAACCCCTCCCTGATATCAGAAAAAATCCTGCTCCGGCTGCTCAAGTACCCGGATGTTATTCAGGAACTCAAGTTTGATGAGCACAACAAGTACTACAGCCACCATTACCTATATACCAGAAATAAGCCGGCCGACTACTTCATTCTCATCCTGCAGGTGAGCACCCTTGTGGGACGCTGCTCACACCGTCCTCTCCGCTCTCGATCTTGGGGCAGGCCTTGAGCCGCTGCTTTCTCACCTTGCCCGTCCTCTCCCTGGCTATCCACCCTGTGGGTCCTACTCCTTCCTCACTTCCTTCACATGCTGTCCTTTGTATTTCAGTCGTTGTCTTCCTCCCATTTTTAACCATGACCCTGTGTCCTTCCAGGGAAAGGTGGAAGTGGAGGCCGGAAAGGAGAACATGAAATTTGAGACAGGTGCCTTTTCCTACTATGGGACCATGGCCCTGGCCTCTGCCCCCTCTGGTGAGTCTGTGGCCTATCTCAGCCCTCTCCAGCAGCTCCTGGTGTGCAGAGACTCTGACCTTCTCCGTATGCTTCCTAGCCAGGAAGAAAGAGGGAGACAGGAGAAGATAAGGCTTTTTAGAGAAGGAGGACCCAAGGCAGAATAGCATGAGCTCCAAAAAGCAGGAGGGAAAAGATGAAAAGGGGATTTTGAGCAGAAAAGCCTGGAGGGAGCCAAGTCTGTGTCCTTGTGAAGGTGAAACCAATCTACCTGAGGTGGAAAAAGATGGGAGAATAAGGACATTTTGGGGGACCTCAGGAGAGTCAATGGAGTGTGGCTGTAACAAGAAGTAGGAAGCCTTTGGTGGTCTTTATGCACAGGGCAGAGTGGACCAGTGGTGGCCCTCATTAGCTGGAATGATGGGAAGAAGATTGAGTGTAGAAGGCAGATGGAGGGTGGCTGACAGGGCTTTGCTTGGGAGGATTGACACAGGGGGGAGGATTAACAGAACAGAACAGGGGAGTAGGGAACTGAGAGAGAGAGAGAGAGAGAGAGATGGTGCCCCGGGCAATTTGGGGGGCTTCCTTCTTATGGGGGTCCTGGGGAGGACCAAGGAATTTGGAGTGTTAATTAAATTAAGTTTGGACTATTTTGATCAGGTTTAGAGCCTTATCAGGATCCATTGTCTGTTCTGGTCTTTGATATGACTGGTTTAGATGTTATCAGGTTTCTCAGGAAGTGATCAGGCCTGGGGGGGGTAGGGGTGGGGCAACTGCTATATTCTTCCTCCAGCTTGGAGCCCCCAGGACCTCTTTGCCTGGGGCCATTTGTAGATGGGACTGGATTTCTGGGGAACTCAGCTGCTGCCTTTCCATTAAAGGCTGTTTCTGATAGACCAAAGGGTAGACCATCCACCTTCAAAGGGAGGTTAGCCAAGGTTTGTAGAAGGGCCACCCTGGCATGCTCTGCTGGTCCTGGGTGGCTCGGACAGGTAGCGTGGCAGCCCCGCTGGCCAGCTCTACACCCTAGTCTTGTCCAGCTCAGGTGGTCACTGGGAAAGGGAAGGAGAGTGAGCTTTGGTCCTGGGACTAGGCCTTGCCCATAGTGGGAACCTCAGTGCTATTCTTCAAATATCAGATCTCTGAAGGTGCAGATCAATGCCCATGGCCAGTGCACCCAGGGAAACTGACACTGATGGGTTCATGGGTACCCCCCCACACACACACACACTTTCACCATGAAGAGCCAGGATGTAGTAGGCTGTCTGGAGAGGGAGTAGTACCCTGGAGGAGCAAGACTCAGAGTTGGGCCCTGGAGCAGCTGGGCCTGCCCAGACAGCCTCAGGGAAGACCTGAGAGGGCTGCTGTGTCCCTTCCTGCCCTCCCACCCCGCAAATACTGCTCCTCTGTCTAAAGGGAAAAGGTTCCCAGGGCTTGGAAGACTTCCTTAGTGCTTTCTCAGCAGTGATGCCTCATAGACCCTCTGTGTTTGGGCCTCAGTCCCCACCTGCAGCGGATGGAAGGGGTGGGAAGTGGCTTGTGGGATACTTTCACCATAGGCACACTGTAGGACATAGTCAGTTGGCCTCTGTCCTTCTGTGCCCAGAGCTCACTAGTCGACCGTGTGCCCTTTCTGTACTGAGCTCTCATCTCTGCAGGGGCAGCCTGCCTTCTCCAGAGCACACCCGAGGCAGGTCTGCTGCTCTGTTTGTTTCTGTGGCTCCTGGGCCTTGGACTGGCCCCTCCCACCACTGACTCTTCCCTCTTTTGATCCAGTGCCTTCAGCTCCAGCTGGGTGTCCGCCTGGCAAGCGGAACTCCCTGCTCTTCTGGCTCTCAGGTAACATGGCATGGCTAGAGAAGGTTGTGCTGCCACCTGTCGCCTGACCTCTCTCACTGCAGCCGCCTTAACCTCTCTCCGCATGCCCTGGGGCTCCTGACAGGCACTGGGGCTCCTGACAGGCACTTGGGACTTGTTCAGATTTAGGGGCAGTGCAGTGTGTTTCACTTAACAGCCAGCTCTCAGGGGAGCTGGACTCTTACTCTGGTCCTAGAAGGGCCTTCTTAGATGCTTGTTGGTCCTTGAGAAGACACAGAACCCCATCCATGGAGACACACACACATAAGTGGAGGTCACTTCCAGCCAGGCCTCATATGCATCCTCTCCTGGAGCATGTGAAGCAGGTGTATAAGTCACTTGCCAACCTGCTGGCTTCCAAGAGCTGCTTAGCCCTCTCTTGGTCAGGCCACTCAGCAGGATTGCTCCTTAGCTCAGCTTGCTCCAAAAAGCCTTCTGCCTTAACAGGCTTTCCTTTCCTCTTCCCTCTGCTACTTTTATCTGGCTGCCCCGGGAAGGCCACTGGTGCAGCCACAGCATCGGGCTGCTGTTTGAACCCCAGCTCCTCATTTATAGGTAAATGGTTCCTCTACAGGATCAGGCATGTGTGATAAAGCCCTTTAACACCACCAGTAAGTTCCCAAAGACACTCCAAGCTCGCAGTAAACCTCAGTGCAAAGGCAGGCACAAGGTGTGAGGTGGCAAGCCTAGCTCCACTGAGTACCCAGAGGCGCCCCTCTGCCTGGAAGCCTCCTGCTCAGAAGCACGTTTCCCACTGTGCTGGTCAGTGAGCCCACCTGTCTGTCTCCTGCCAGGCCTCCTCTGCTGCTGTCACTTATGCTCATCACCATCTCTCTGCCCCCAGTGGCAGCACTCTGTCTTCTGGGGCTAAAGGGCTTCCAGTGCACGTGCCCCACAGCCAAAAACTGTTGTCCTTTTTTGGTGGTAGTCAAGTTTCTCTTTGCCTCTGAGATAATGCATTTTAAGCCCAGTAGGATGGCAAAACTGGTCAGTCTCCACCTGTGGTCCTATATACCTTATTTGCATGTTACCACACATACACACAGAGATTCCATGTATTTGTATTATTAGCAAATTGTTTGATACCCTTAGTGGACCACAAGCACCTGATTCCTATAGTCCCATCCAGTCATTAGGTGGAAGTTGCAAGGCTATGGCTAAAAAGGCAATATAAAACAATTCATCCTACTGTACTCAGATGTCTTAATACCTTCTTCAGTTTCTTTCTTACGTTGTCGTTATATACCATGGAGTTGTGACTGACTCATAATTGATCCTCCAGCAGGTTTTCAGAGGCAGCAAATTGTACAGGAGAAATTTGCCCATCTGTCTTCCAGAGGGAGTAGCTGGTGGGTTAGAACTAAGTGTCTTTGGGTTGGCAGCACAATCCCTTACCACTAAGCCACCAGGGCTCCTTGTTTCTTTGTAGGATCTCTATTTTGTGTGTGTGTGTGTGTGTGTGTGTGTGAATATTGTTGCTCTTCTTTTTAATTATTTCATTATTTTTTTGTGTGTACCGTCAAATCAGATCTGACTGGTACAGGAGGAGATTGTTTTTCCTTCTCTAGCAGAGCATCTGGTGGATTTGAACTGTGCACCTCTGAGCTTGCAGTTGCAGCTTCTTGCCACTAGGCCACCAGAGCTCGCCAGGATCTCTATTTTTAATGTCACTAATTTGTGGTGTTAAATTCCATTCCTATTTTTAGGGTATTAATATGTATCCACTAAAAACATTTTGAACTTCAAATAATGAATCTGAAAGTATTTGTGTTTTTCTAGAACTTAACCAGAGGTGGGACTTAAGCTAGGTGAGTGCTACTTTCACTGTTCTGTAAGGATTGATTGTATACTACTCAATCATAGACTATTTCAAACCATTTTCCCAAGTCTATTGAGTTAGTGAGTTAAGAATTAAGCTGTCAACTTAAAGGCAGGCGATTCGAATCAATCAGCTGCTCCATGGAAGAAAGATGGTACTATCTTCTCATGATGTACAACCTCTGAAAACCTACTGGGGGTCGGCTATGAGTCACTTCCCACTTGATGGCGTACAACAACATGAGTGAGCCCCAAATTTTACAGAAGTTTGAAGATAACATTACTCAATTCCGTTTCATTGCATTAAAAGCTGCATTGATCAGTCACTTGGATTTGTTTGCCATTTTTGCTGGGCTATGTGTTACAGTAGCTAAGTAGTAGTTAACTAATAGCAGATTAACCTGTGCCAGTTTGCCTTCACATTTAACTTTGTGTATTTCATTGTTTTTAAATGTTCTCAGAAACAAAGATTAATGCTATGCAGTGATGTGAAAAGTCCTTTTTTCAAAATAAGGGGGGGGGGGCGGGAATAAAACAAAGTAACTGGCTGGCTCCTCCCTCATCTGAGATGAAATCATGCCCACCCCTTCCACTTAGATCTGGAGGCTGTGCACCCCTGGAGGCAGCGGGGAGAGGTCCACACCCAGAGACTGCAATGGGAGATGCGGCTGGGTCCTCCACTTCCTGTGGGCAGGACACGCCACCTCTGCAGCAGACACAAGTGTAGGGGGGTACTGCGTCCCACACTGAGCAGATCATATGGCAAACACGCTCTTGACCCTCAGAGAATCCGAAGGCGTGAGGGTGTATGCGCGTGTGCCCTCCCATCGATGCGATCTGTGTCGTAGGCAAGGGGAACAGCTTGTCTGTAATGGTAGATCACCCTGGTTGCTTTTGTGTGATTCATTGTCTGGAAGAGTTTTTTTAGCCAGAAACTTTTGATATCTTTGATTTTGTTTTCCTCTTGTTTGTCTGTGTCATTGTCTTGGTGGGCATTTTAATACCAGTTCTATGACACTCCCCCAAACAAACTTGCCCATTTGCTCTGATTCATGTAGCAGTAACAGCATCTGTTTGCTCTTAAGAACTTCCCCTTCTGCCCATGGGGCCCATGCCCTCCTCCCTCATGTCTGTGGGGAAAGGTCACAGAGAGGCTGTGAGGGGGCCCCTGGCCTGATGTCCTCTGCTCTTCCCACAGATCGCTCCCCATCCTACCCCACCACCCTCAGCCGCTCAGCCTCCCTTAGTTACCCCGACCGGACAGATGCCGCCAGCTCCCCTCCCACGGCTGGAAGCAGCATTCAGTTCGGCAGCTCCATCCTGGGCCAGTACATCTCCGACTTCAGCGTTCGGGCACTTGTGGACCTCCAGTACATTAAGGTCAGCGCCTCGCACAGCCCGCTCTCTGGACAGTACTGTCTTCCCCCTTGAGGCATGTGGACCACTACCTCTGGAAGAAGCTACTTCTTTCATCCCTTTTGAGCCTTGTTCCTCCCTATTTCTAATGGCTCCTCCATCTGACCAGGCCCCACTTGTCCAGGGCTTATGTTAAGGTTTTGCCCTCCCAATCCCCATTCTCCATCAGCCTCTTCCCTTTCTCCCACAGATCACCCGACAGCAGTACCAGAATGGACTGCTAGCCTCCCGCATGGAAAACTGCCCTCAGTTTTCCATGGATGGATGCACCATCTGCACAGAGAACTTCTCTGAGAAGTCTGAGCTGCCTGTAGTGGACGAGACCACAACCCTCCTCAACGAACGCAACTCGTTGCTGCACAGAACCTCGCAAGAGAGTGCCATCTGACAGGAGGGCCCGGGGTCCCCTGCTGGCACTGCGGGGGGCCTCCCCAGTGGGCCCACACAAAGATAGGGAGCCTAGCAGGCCAGAACGGGAGTGCACAAGGCCGTGTGAGCCTCAGAGGTCCCTGAGCCCATGGAGATTTGATCCTCTGGGGGGAGCCTCTAACAGCCCTGAGGTAGAGGCTGCCCAGCCCTGGACTGGTTTGAGGCAGTGGGCCAACTCCTGTGAGCAGCCGCTGTTCTTCACTGGGAGAATTTCCAAGCAAGGCTCATTGCTCCTCTTTTAAAGTACCCTTTTGGGAAGAGAGTGGGAAAGGATACAGGGTTAAAGAACTTTAAGGAAAAAAAAAATCATTCTTTTAAAAAACTTAAAAGGGGAGATTTTCTCACCACAGGAAGCAATAGCCATAATCTGCTCCCCTTCATGACCTTTAGAGTATGTCCCTGACTCAGGGAACCCACTGCTCCTCCTCCCCTCAGTATGGTGATCTTAGAGGTCTGCAGAAGAAGAGCTGTAACTTAGGAGGAAGACACTTCCTCCTGGAAAGCACAGACCCAAATGGCATTGAGAACAAACACCTGGACACTTACACAGAGGCTGGTATTGCTGGGGTCAGGGATTCTGGGTAACTGTGACATAACCCCAGCTTCAGAGAGGGGCACATCCACTCCTGCCGATCACTGGAGCCAGAACTTCCCCAGAACCCTGCCGGTGGCTGTCCAGGGCAATGTGGGCTTGGCTGAGCCTTTTCACTCCTGCCACGTTTGTTTGCCTCACGTCTGCCCTTTGGCCAACTCTCCCCATGTCATGGGGTTGACTGAAAGTGTTAGGCAGGGTCTTACTCCTTTAAGATTGCTGTCCCTGGCTCTGCAGACCCTGCCCTCGCTTTGACCAGAGGTTCCCTTTGTGGGGAAAGCATCTTATGTCAGATGTGACTTGTCTGGTTACTGCTTGCGTTTCCAGGAGTGGATCTGGTTGCAGGGATGTGCACTGTTAGTGGCTAACACCACCCTGACCCCTGCTCCTTCTGCTGACCTATGAAGCTCTTCTTTCCAGACACCCTTTTCCTGATCCCCAAACTCCAGTTTCTCTGAAGGTCTGAGAATAGGAAGACCTGTTGAAAAAAACCAACATAAACAGATTTTCATACCCCTTACTCTGTGGCCAAGTCTTCCCTGACCTTGAATGGCAGCCAAGATGGCTTCCCACCTGAAAGGCTTACAGATGGTCGCCTTGCCTTCCCGTTTGTGTGTTCTTGCTGTGAGAGGCCATCCTGGCCTTTCTAAAGCTGTAGGTACTGTACCCTGAGAGCTCTGACCCCCTGAATTCCTTCCCCCTGGTGCTGTCAGGCCCTGCTGCAGGCAGCCCGAGGGACCAGAGGCCACGCAAGCCCTTTATCTGGCAGAACAGGAGCTGAGACCCAAGATTCAGGTGAGGGAGACTGCACACCTCCCGTCGAGTATTTTTTGTTGTGGTTTTCCCTCCAAGTGTTATTTATTCACTTCTCCCTCAGCCAGTGGAGTCCTGCTACCCCCATGTGCTCAGGTCTTTAGGTGCCTAGGGAAGTCCAGCTCCTGGGACCAGGAAATCCCTCCACTAAGGATCCCTGTTGCCAGGCAGCACGAGGGCCTCCCTGTTGTGAAATTTACTCCTAAAAGCCTTGAGAGGAGGTGACAGTTGTGGGTTCCGGCCATTTATTCCAGCTAGGGAGAAGCCCTTGGTCTTTGACAGGAACTTACAAAGCTGTACTTCTGAGGTGTCAGTGGCAGGTGAAGAAACGCATGGCATGAGTTGAGTGAGGCTATGTGTGATGTGGCAGGGGCAGGCGCACACACTTCCCCAGCCACCTCTTTGCCCATGTTGACTCCCAGCAGATGGGCACTCCCTCACCGCCCCTCCACTTAGAATCACTTCTTGGGGAGGGTCCTATTTCCACATTTTGTTGGTCCGATGACTCCTCCCAGTGCAGTTTTTTATTTCCTAGTCCAGGCTGGTTTCTGGAACCAGCTCCTAGAAGTCTTCTTGTGGGAGACCTTTACAGATGGCATCCAAATGGGTAGGCAAGTCACAGCCACCATAACAAATAATTCATATTTATTTTGCATAAGATTTTAATTTGTATATTTTTGTGATTTTTTTTTTTTTTTGCATTGTTACGAGTTTGACTCTCGGGGAGTTTTGTTATGAGTCTTGTGTCTTGTCACAAACAATGATAATATTTGCTAAACAATATATGGAATTTATTTTTGATTGGTATAAAGTATGTATAAATTTTGGTGAGTCTACAGTTTGCCTGTTTCAGTCTTATTGATACTCATTATGTGTAAGAAGAGAGTGGCTCTGGTTGGGGAAGTAGCCTTTTAACATGCTTACAGGTAAAGGAAATCAGTATTCTAGGACCATTTTGCAGTAAATGCAGGGCAAAATATTTTAAAATTATGCCTAATCCAAAGAATGACCACTCATCCCTCCCTGACACTGTAACAACAGGGCATGCTGCTGCTTTGTCTATGCTGCTGTTTGACCCAGTGCCTAACCTCCACTGGAGGTATATTCAGTCAGTCATCCTTTCCTCTCAGAAGGTAACCCCAGCTGGGCAGGGCTTCCATTTTTCGGCATCCTTGAATATATACCATAAAGCCATTCTACAAAGTGAAAAACTGAAAAAAAAAACCAAACCAGATGTCTTTATTTATATATGTGCCCACTCACCACCTAGCTTGTTCCCTGACATTTTACAACAACAGTAAAAAAAATACTATCTACTTTGCATACAGATGACATAATCAGGCAGTAACAAATGAAGTCATCCATTTTCACACAAAGACCTGGCCGTAGGATCATGTCACATCGGATTGCAGAGTGGATAACTGCATAATTTCTTTTTTTTTTTTTTAAATTTTATTATTTTTTTTCTGTGTAGAGTCAAATCAGATCTGACTGGTATAGGAGGAGATTATTCCTCCTTCTCCAGCAGAGCATCTGGTGAACTGCATAACTTCTAACACACTGAAGATCATAGGCAGCCAAGTTAACAGTCACAGCCAACAGCATTACTCTTGCTTCGTGCCTCAGCAATTGTTACTGAGATGTAGGATCATTCAAAACATTTCTTATGGTGTAAAAAATCATGGTTTGGTTTAGGAGCAGCTATCCATTGCAATATTTCCATTACTGGGCCAAATGTAGGTTAAGTTTAAATGAGATACTTCAAGTCCTAATGTTGTTGGTGCTGTTGAGTACCTATCCTGTGCCATCCTCATCATCTCTGACACTGTAAAGCCCACTGCTGCCAACACCGTGTCAATCCATCTTGTTGAGGGTCTTCACCACCTTCACTAACCCTCCATTTCTCTGAGCATGCCTGCTTTCTCCAGTGACTGGCCTCTCCTAACATGCCCAACCTTGATACCAGCAGCCAAGAAATCAAAAGACATGTATTAGGAATGTCTGCAGCCCAAGACCTCTACAAAGTGCTGAAAATCAGATGTCAGTTTAAAGACATGACACAAAGTATGACCTTTTCTGTTACTTGTTATGCATCTGAGAGTTCGACAGTGAATAAAGATAGAAGACCAGAGGCGTGTGGTTTAAATTCACCAGATGCTAGATTGTGCAGCCACATACTCCTTAGAGGCAAGGATGTTTCCATTGATGGCACATGCCTGCATTAATGCTATGACTAACCAAGGATGGAACAAAGTGTGGCACAAGGCCAATGATAAGCTGGTGAAGCACTATGGTCCTCTTTTCTACCCTTGAGGCATCTATAAACAAAATCACCCTGGGTACAGCTTTTCACTTAGATTTTTTGTGTATTTGGGTAATGACAATGTAGACAACAATTCCTGTTTTCCAAGTTGGATCCAATCATTATTCCATGCAAAGACCTTCCTGCCAAAATTAGTTATATGTTGTTTTCTAAGGGAGACTGAAACCAAGGGAAAAGTAACTTGTCAAAGGTCAGGGCATGTTTCCAAATCCAGGGAGGGTCTTCCCTGTTTAAGAACTTCCCAAGATAATTACTCTTCAGTCATGAAACTCACTTCAGGTTCTACTGCATCATCTGCATTGTATCTTGACACAGTATGAACCCAAGGACTTGAATCCATATTAAGTATGTATTGTCATTATTGCTTCTGCCAGCAGGAGCTGCTTCCATCATCTGCATGAGTAAAGAGCTTTATCACCATCTGGGTCTGAAAACCTAAAAACACAGATGTAATTGGCCTGTCAGGGCTCTGAGCTTATGATGTAGACGAGACTACAGCCATCTTTTAACACTTCAAGGCCAAACTACTTTCTGCTTTGAATTTTTTTTTGAAATGATGTGCTTTCAGGATGGGCTTTAAAAAAAAAAAAATTTGGGGAGGGGGAAAAAAAATAAAAATTTGTGTGTGTATCCCCAAATTGGATCTGACTGGTACAGAAGGAGATTGTTCATCCTCCAGTTAAAGTATCTGGTGGATTCAAACTGCATACCTTTGAGATTGCAGTGCAGCTTCTTGACACTAGGCCACCAAAGCTCCTTTAAGAATGGCCTTTTGAATGAAATGAAGAATTGTTTTGAGGTAGTGTGGGTTGGATACAACTGGGGAGACACGCCTGTCTGAGGAGGCCGGATATTGGGGTTGGTGGGATGGGGCCTGTTTCTTCAGATTTAGCAACTATACAGACACACCTAGTCCAGCCCCCACCAGAGATGGCAACCCACATTAAAAGTGGAATAGCAAAAAAAAAAAAAAGGAATAGCAACTTTCCACTGAACCTTGGATTGGTGATGGAAAATGGTAAATCCTAGCAAAGGATTAAAATGCTTTTTCACAAAGGACTTCCCCTCCCCCCTCATTAAAAACCTTGGGTTTTTTTTTTTTTTTTTTAGGTTGTCAAGTTGATTGTGAGCACATGTGTGCAAAGGCAATCTATCCTCCACTGTTCTGTCCCTTTGCAGAACAAGACTGTGTGCCATTGTGCTTTGAAGGTGGTAACCTTTTATAAACAGATCTTCTGTGCATCTGGGTGGGTGTTAAACTTCCAACTCTCAGGCTTCTAACCAGCTTTTAGAACTCAGGGAGGGTCAGCTAAGAGTCATTTCCAACTCGATGGCAATTGCGTTGAGTTTTTGAAAGAACATTCCATATTATCTCAAATAACTGTAAAGTAAGGATCCTCCTGAACCGACCTGGGCCCTAAGAGATTCCTCCCCAAAGATGAATTGCTGAAAAGTGGAGTTATTAGATCCAATCTCACAAATGAAGTCTTTGGGAGCTTCATTAATTTTTTTTCCCTACCCTGGACTGCCAGGAAAACAAACAGATTTATCTTAGAGAGGATTAAACCAAGCTACTCCTTGGAGGCAAGGATTCTGGGGCTTCGTCTGACATACTTTGGACATGTTGCCAGAAAGGACGGGTCCTTGGAGAGGGACATCATGCTTGGGAGGATGGAGGGACAACACAGGAGGGGAAGACCCTCTATGAGATGGATTGATTCAGTGACTGGGGTAATCGGGATGGGTGTGTCAGAGGCAGTGCGGTTGGCGCAGGATAGAGCAGGGTTTATTAGGGCTGTTGTGCATAGGGTCGCTATGAGTCGGAAACGACTCGACGGCACACAACAACAAGAACAACAACTGTAAAAAGACTAACATGTTTGCAAAGATCTAATGAGGTAGTGATTTATATGTTTACATATTACCCCTAGACCTCTGGGGGAAATGCACGATTCCTGAGGCAGTGACTGGCTTATCTAGCTGGGGAGCGAGCTTAGTTTTCAGTTCTGCTAGGTCTTCAGTTCCGCGGGTTAAAAGAACCTTTTGGTTCAAGGGGCTCTTTTCTAAGAAAACTGCACATTTATATACTTAGTTCTCTACCTGCAACTGAGGCATGCTTAGCCGTGGTTCTAGCCGCTGGCCGCTCAGCTCCGCGCCCGAGTCCCGCGTTGGGGACTTCCCAGAGCTCAAGCCCGGCCTCCCGGAGATCAGGGGACGGCAAAGGGAACGAGATGCCCAGCGACAGCCCTGGAGAGGAGTCGGATTTCCAGTGACGGGTGCGAGCCGTTGGCAAGCGGGCTCGAGAAGCCCTGCAGCTCGTCATTGGTCCAGCTTTTTATAAACCACCAGCTGACCTCGGGAGCGGATTGTGAAGCCCCACGCCCCCGAGCGCCCCGGGCCTCGCGCCCTCAGCTTGTTTACTTCCCGGCGCAGCCTAGTCCGACCGGAGGCCCGCCCTCGCCCGCCACCTATAGGCGGAGGAGGAGCGAAGGCAGGCGACAATTGGCTGAGAGAAGCCAGAGGCACGGAGTGAGCAGGATAGGCTGCACGAGAAGCCGAGAGGAACAGCGGGAGATGGCGGCGGCAACGGCTGCCGGTTGGCTGGGCTGGTTGTTCGCTGCGTTCTGCTTGGGCAGTACCATCGGGAAAGCAACGTCGGGCCCGCAAGTACTGGGTTTCTGCGTGGAGGAGGACGGAGACCAGGGTTCAGGGTGGACGCGAGGAGAGGTGTTGGGGGCCGTGCCGGAGGCCACCTTCCTCCTGCGTTTCTCCGGCTCAGGCTTTGCCAACAGCTCCTGGTCCTGGGTTGCCCTCGAGGTGGCCGGCTGTCCCGAGGACAGGCCGTCCGCGGCGCCGGAGTTAGTGACGGCCCCTGCGGCAGGCGCGGGCGAGTGGCGTGCACTCCTGCGCCTGCGCGCCGAGGCCTTGCGTCCGCACTTGTCCCAGCTGGCGGTGCGCGTGGAGCCGGGCGGTGCGGCAGCTGAGGAGGCGGCGCCGCCCTGGGCGCTGGGCCTGGGGGCGGCCGGGCTGTTGGCGCTGGCGGCGCTGGCGCGGGGCCTGCAGCTAAGTGCGCTGGCGCTGGCTCCGGCCGAGCTGCAGGTGCTGCGGGAGAGCGGCTCGGAGGCGGAGCGCGCGGCTGCGCGGCGCCTAGAGCCTGCGCGACGGTGGGCGAGCTGCGCCCTGAGCGCTCTCTTGCTGCTCGCCAGCCTGGCGCAGGTGGCGCTTGCTGTGCTGCTGTACCGCGCCGCCGGCCAGCTCTTGGTGCCCGCCGTGCTGGGGAGCGCGGGGCTCGTGTTCCTGGTGGCGGAGGTGGTGCCTGCCGCGGTGAGCGGACGCTGGACGCTGGCACTGGCGCCTCGTGCACTCAGCCTCAGCCGCCTGGTGGTGCTGCTCACCCTGCCTGTTGCCCTGCCGGTGGGTCAGCTGCTGGAGCTGGCGGCACGCCCCGGGCGCCTCCGCGAGCGGGTGCTGGAGCTGGCGCGCGGCGGCGGTGACCGCTACAGCGATCTGAGCAAGGGCGTTTTGCGCTGCCGGACGGTGGAGGACGTGCTCACGCCGCTCGAAGACTGCTTCATGTTGGATGCCAGCGCTGTGCTGGACTTCGGTGTCCTGGCCAGCATCATGCAGAGTGGCCACACGCGCATCCCCGTGTACGAGGAGGAGCGCTCCAACATCGTGGACATGCTCTACCTCAAAGACTTGGCCTTTGTGGACCCTGAAGACTGCACGCCCCTCAGCACTATCACGCGCTTCTACAACCACCCACTCCACTTCGTCTTCAACGACACAAAGCTGGACGCTGTCTTGGAGGAGTTCAAGCGAGGTAACGGCTGGGAAATAGCAGAGGGGACTCAGATGCCTCAGCCTTCCCCTGGAAGATGTGTGGGGATTTATGGAACCCTCCAGGAAAGCGTCCCCCTCCTGGAGGGAGTGAGATCTCTGAGAGTCCTTTAAAAGAAGGTGCTGAGTGACCTGCAGGGCTGGTTTGCTTGGCTTTGATGGCTGGGATCCTCCCATCGCGGGCCATCACTGTGAGCTTGGACTTTGGCAGGTCCAGACCCTTTGGAAGAATGAAGTGGAGCATGTTGTTTGTAGACATCAGGCTGCTGTTTGTGTATGCTGGGTCATAAGTAGTACTTTCAGGGTACTCACCGATAAGATTGTTAGCTGCTGCTTTCCTGATTCCAGAAAAGGTTAGCAATTAGAAATTATTTTTCTACAGGTATGAAGGAAACATTTCTTTTGATTTCACTGAAAGCAACCAGATGGGTTAATCTAACTTCTCCCTCCTTTTTTTTAACATTCCCGTTTCTAACTAGTTTTGTTTTGTTTTCCTCCTTTCTGTCTCTTAAGTGAGGTTTTTGAGTTTTCCCCTCAACTCCACATTGTCCACTTATCCTTTCTCCAGATTTTCCCAGATGACTCTGAGGTTGAGAGTCCTGGTGGTGCCCTTCTGACACTCTTCTCATCGTCGTGGGAATACTCCTCAAGTGCTGAGTGCCCCCTGTGGTGGTCAGCCATGCTTCTCACTAGGAACTCCCTCCCAGAGGCTCCCTGGGATTCTGGCTCTTCTTGATCCTAAAGGCTGCCATCAGGTGGAGGAGTGAGCAGACCCTGTGGTTCTGGCATCTGTGAACTTTTGTCCTGTCCTCTCCTGTCCTGGAAGGTGTTCTCTGAGCCCCTTGATAGCTAGGTCGTGAAAGCAAGGTTTTCCAGTGTTGAGGCTGTGGCTGCATTGAACAGTACTGTTTAGTGCAAGTAGAGGCTCTGCAGGCATCCTCTCTCCTTACCCTTGCAAGACCTGCATGTTAAGGGGTAGGCAGTACTGTTCATACTGTATAGTGGGAGACATGTAGGCAACTGGTTTGCTGAAGAGAATCTCTTAGATGCTGCTTGCTATTTGCCTAGAAAGTGGGGAGGGGAGCCTAGGGTAGGACTCAGATGGCCTCCTGGGGTTGAGTACTCTACCAGGGTACCATAACCCTCTGGGGTAGTTGTTCCTGTAGCATGGTGGCCAGTGGCCCTGGGTCTGGATTCAGAGTGGAACAGATTCTATTCTTGCTCCTACTACCTCCTAGTTCGAGACCCTGGAAGACTGCTCAGCCTGTCATGGTGCTGGGGCCTCATTAATGATGTTGGGGAAAGAATCTGTTGAAATGAGAGACCTAAAGCAGTTAATAGCCCAGCTCCTGGTATACATGGACTCACTGTTTTGTGTTGTTTGATTTTTTTAATTTTTTTAAAATTTTTTGTACGTGTACTGTCAAATAAGGTATGACTGGTACAGGATGAGATTGCCGCCCCTGCTCCAGCAGAGCATCTGGTGGATTCGAACTGCTTACCTCTGGGATTGCAGGCATACACTCAGTTTTAATGGGGATTTTGTTCCTGAGTGGGATTTAATACAAGCAGTTCGGTTTGATGCTTGCAAACTCATGAATAGGAGCTCTCGTGGTACAGTGGTAAGCATGTGGCTGCTAACAGAAAGATTGGTAGTTCAAACCCAGTAACACCTCTGAGGAGGAAAGATGTGCCAGTCTGCTCTGTAAGGATTGTATTGTTGGTAACCCAGGGGACAGCTCTTGTCTGTCCTTGAGGGTTGCCATGATTCAATTTATTTGATGGCAGGGAGCTTTGAGTTCTTAACTCATGAGCAAGGGAATGAACCTGGAAGTGCTAAATCCATTTGTTCCAGAAATCTTGTCTCCCCCAGGTCCCCAGACTGCTTTCATTTTAGGGGAATTACCTGGAGAGAAGAAAGTGGAAAAGGAGGACATATGGGTCGGGAAGGGAGGCAGTATGCTGTGGCTATAAGATGGTGAATTGAGCGGTTTCACATGTTGAAGTGAAAGCCAGGAGAAGAGGGAAAGCCATAGTGGCTCCTGTTCTGGAGTGAGTGGCCTGAGAGCTGCTCTGGGCCATCTGACTGCAGGCAAGTTTCCTGCAGCCTGATGCCAGAGAATTTGGGGTTGAGTGCCTTTTGGCTTTAATCAGACTATTCCACAAGCTGCCTGCCAACAACGCGCAGCCTCCTGCTGGAAGCCAGTGGGGAGTTTAAAGAGTTGCAGAGATTTCTGAAGCCTGGAGATTGAGGAACTCTTTAGTATACCTTCCCTTCTCCCGGTCTTAAAGGAGCTTAGGAGAAGTGGCATCTGTGACATCACTTTCTGTGGCATCTGACATGCACACTCCTGGCTTTTTGTTCAGTGTATTCCCCTGCAGGGTTATCTTTATTGCACCTTGTTGAAGCTCTGCTCTTTATCCCCTCATTCCTGTTTATGAACAAAGGTCATATTTCAGCCTTTAAAGTTTTAAAAGTCAGTTCCCTTTGCATTGCACTGCCAAGAGTCCCAGGGGGTTGCAGGCCACTGTCTCCCTGGAGCTGGGGTCCCTTTGTATCTTTGGCAGTTCCCAAGTCCAGCCTTATTCCTTCTGCTCCTTCAGAACATTGTGTGCCTGGGAACTGTGTACACTGTGTGCAGACTGGAGATGACATACTGCTTGTTTTGTGTTTTCATCACCAGGAGTGAGACTTGGGAGCTGCAGTAAGGGGTATGTGTTTTGCTTAGAGCTGTTAACTCCTGCCTCCTTTCTCAACCCTGGATGGACATTCAGCCCAAGAAGAGATTCGAGTGGGTGACCTTTTCTAAGCTCTGCTTTATTGTCAGAAGCCAAAGGATTGCTGCAGTCCTGTAAAGACACCTGCTCAGACAGTTAGTTATGTGCATGCTGCTCTTCTCATGAGACAAATCTATACATTTGTTTTAAAAAATAAGGGCGGGAGGAAATGAAATCCCTGCTGCATTACTAAGACTGGCTTAGAAGTTAGGTATTGTGGAAAGGTATGCTGAATCCACAGGATTCATGAGTACCCTGGGCATGCTTTCCAAACATTCAAGCTTCTTCTCCAAAGTTCTCTGTCGATATTGGTGAGATGAGTCCCCTGTGTCTAGCTTGTTCCGTGAGAGCCAGACGCCACCTCCTTTCAGAGCATTTTCTCCAACCAGTTGGGGAAAGTGCAGTGCCTCCACCTGCTCCTTCTGTTTACCCTACTGCTTTGCAGGGCTGCCTTCTGACCACTCGGACATTTTGTATTGAGACTGTAACTCCCAATATATTCTACTTTGGGAGGATCCCTCGTAGCACAGTGGGTAAACGCTTGGCTGGTAGTCAGCAAGTCTGTGGTCGCACCATCGGCAGCTCTGGAAGAGAAAGGAAGCAGGAGTCCACTTCCGTAAGAATTACAGTCATGGACATCACAGCATGGCTCTGCTTTGTCACATAGCGGTCACCAGGGGTCGCAGTCAGTTCAGCATGCAGCTGGTTTAATAGTCTTCAAGGGATCTTCCTGAATCATCTCAGTGTGTGTAGGTTAATGAGGAACTAATACCTAGTTTATAAAAGTTTGAAATTATGAGTTCTTATAGGTAGTCAGCCAAAGAGACAATGTGAGTTGGGGCTCCTCTGCTCTGACACAGCTGTTTAGAAACTGGTCTTGGGTTCGTGGAGTGCTGTGGACCAGGACGTGGTTCGGGATATGGTTCAGGCCCTTGGCTGCCTTTCTCTGGCCTGAGAGATTCTGTCACATGGCTGGGGCTTTGTGATGTCACTTGCACACCAGCATGAGCTAAACCAACATAACACTGTGGGGTGGAAACCCGTGCTGCTCATGTGGGGCTCTGACTCCACGGGAGTGGGTGCACAGGTCTCCTGGCGAGTGGGAAAGCGAGGACATAGAACATCCTGAAGAGCAGGCCTGTGCATACTGAGAGTCCTCTCTCACTGTGTAAGTCCCTGGAAGAGAAAGGACCAGAGACTCAGGCCATTGTTCTTTTCTGTGAGAGTATGCATGGGTTCTGAAACCAGCTACCTGGGTTTGTTTTGCAGGTTTCTTATGACCACAAACTAGGAAATCGTGTGATGTGACGGTTCATAAAGTTAATAAATGAATAAAAAGCACTTGCTACCTGGAACACTAAATATTCCATTTCCTCACTTCTGACACACGTTTATGACAGCTCTAGATGACATCTCAACATTTGTAAAAATTCAATTACTATCTTTACTTTTTTAAAAAAAAATAATACCATTCCTTGGTCATTGTGTTAGTAGTCACATTCAGTTAATATCTTTTTCTTTTTTTTTTTTTAAATAATGCCATTCCATGATCATTGTGTTAGTGGTCACATACTAGTAATGGATCTTTGACTCATGTTTCAGGGAAAATAGCACACCAAGTTTCGACATGGTCTTTGGAGACCTTTATTAAGATACTGACAGGTCCAGGTCAGACAGATCACTGGGAAATTCTGTCAACATGCTGCCAAGCCATGGGTTTCAGCTGTAAGATTTTGATTACTGTTGTAGGCAGGACATAGGGATGCAATTTCAAATGAAAAAACTTCAGGATTTGTTCTGGGGCTCGCTTCACCATGATAATACGTTCTGGTCAGAGTTACAAGTCTGGGCAGTCGTTAAGGACATGGCAGACAAGCTTCCTGGGCTTCTGTCTCAGCCTCTCCCAGTTGGAGAGCCTTCTCTGTCACTCCTTACATAGTCAGAACCTACTCATAGCTGACCCTCAGGGGTTTGGAGTTTGTACGTTTCAGGCATGAGATTGCTGGCCTGTCTGCTGTGGAGCCACTGATGGATTCAAACAGGCAGAGGCACTGCTATGGGTTAGTGCCATCATAGCTCCCTCTGCTGGAGGTGGTGATTTGCTTTTACCACCCTTCTGAGGATAGAGTCACAGGTTTGGGTATATCTGAGTAGCACTGGGACTACGCTATAGACCTCAGCTTTCTACAAGCCAGATGCTTCGGATTGGAAGCACTAGTGCACTCTCTGCATTTTCATTCTATACTTTGGCACAGATGTACCTCACTACTTATAAAAGGCATGTGATTGAAAGAATGAGACAGAGCATGCTGAATAGACTGTGCCAAAGAGCCGATCTCTGTCTCAACCTCTGTGTTGTAATTAAGCACCAGAGCTCTGGTGGCCTAGGGGTAAAGAAGCTGTATCATCCTCAATCCCAAAGACATAAGGTCCAGATCTACCAGCTGCTTCACAAAAGAGGGCTGGGTTTTCTCCTCCTCTGCGTTAATACCTCTGAAAACCCCCTGGAGGGTCAGCTGTGGGTCAGTTCACACTCGATGGTACACACATTTGATGATTGAATTACATAGTGCTTCTCTAACATTGTAAGTTGTGTAGTGTCGGCAGATTTTATTTAGGGTGCTGGCTCTAGGGGAAGGTCTTTGTCCCTTTTCAGCCTCTGTCCTTGGCTCCTTGGTGATCTTCTCGTGCCAAGGTATCCGTCTTCCCACATCTCTGGTTGTTGGCTTGCAGCTTGCTCTGTTTTAAAGCTCGGAGATTTGACTACATCCACAGCCTACATTCAAACTACCTCATTAACAAGACAAAGACAACCCCTTCCCAAAGGCATTCTTTTTTTCTTTTTTTAAAAAATTTTAATAATTTTAAAGGCATTCTAGCTAACCACTGATAAAAACCCCAGACCGGACCCATTGCCTTGAGTTTCCAAATCAGACTTTGGTTTTATGGGAGGAGAGTGTGACCAGTGCACCTCATGTGCACCCACCACCTTTCAAAAGAGGCGTCTTTGTCACTTTGGTGCTGAACAGGTTTCAGTGGAGGTTAAGACAGACTAAGGAGAGAGTTCTGAGGGCCTGCTCCCCAGAACTGACCAATGAGCCTGGGGATCAGAGCATGTTCATGGGGGTCGCAAGCATTGTGCTGACTGGATCTGGTGGTGACTCTCCTTGGTTCTTGCTTCTGGAAGTCCATGGCAGTTTTAGGAACCCCTCCCTCTCGGAGCCAGCCTGAGTGAGCTCCCGAGCTCGCTTTCCCACTTTGACTCTGCACCTGAACCTGTGTACCAGTTAGCCTTTGTTAGTCACATTGTTGGTTTCCTGGCTTCCTTTGTAAACAGAGGGAGACCACTGAGAAGGCAGGCTGTGGTTCTCCCTCCAGTGTTCAGCCATGGCCTCACCAGCCTCTGGTCTACGTGTCCTGCAGAGGTGAGCGCGGAGACTTAACATGCAAACCCCCTTTTCACAGGGAAGTCCCACCTGGCTATCGTGCAGAAGGTGAACAATGAGGGGGAGGGCGACCCCTTCTACGAGGTCCTCGGCCTGGTCACCCTGGAGGATGTCATCGAAGAGATCATCAAGTCAGAGATCCTGGACGAGTCTGAAGACTACCGTGAGTTTTGATTTCCCAGAGCTTTTGCCTCAGCTGGTTTTTCAAACTTGTAGGGATGGAAATGGGTGTGAGAGGATGCTGGGTCTGTTTCTTTTGTCGGGTCATTTTGCTGGAAACAGGCTGAATCTCTGGTTCCCAGCTAAGGCCACTATTAAAAAAAACAAACACACACCTAGGGCCACTTGGGAGCCTCCATAACTGCGTTGTTCACAGCCATGGAAACTCAAGTGTAGGTCCTCACTGCAGGTCTGTTTCTGATTGGGCAGCCAAGAGTGATTAGCAGCTGTGCTAATCATGGAGGACAGTGCTCTGCCTTGGTCTCTCTTCCGTCTTCCCTTGTACAGTGTGGACATGTTGCTAAAGACACCCCATTCTTTCATTCCAGGAAGGTGTTCTCAATGCAAATGATGGGGTCTTTTGTCTTAGCAGGGTGCCTGGACTCTGCAGGGCACACACATAACTGGTGCTCATATGGTGCCAGGGACACTGTCCACTCCCCCCGTAAGGATATCACTTTACACCTGACATGGCGTCTTCATTTGGTCGCTTTTACTCTCCTTGGCATCAGGTCATCACGGGACCTGCTACTCTTTAGGACTGTTAATTCTCAAAAGCACATTTTCCAGGAAAAGGTCTTTTAACAGTGGAGAACATTTAAATAACTGCTTGTCTGTCATATCAGCATCATTTCTCAACCACTTTCCAGACACGCATGCTTTCCCGGGATTTGGTGACACTGCGGGCCCCTTATGTCCTGGGAGCCAGGATTGCTGCAGTCTGGCACTGGTGGCCCGACACTGTCGGAGGGGCTGTGGTGCTCTGATACTGCCTCCTCCCCAGCCCCCTGAGCCCTCAGATCTGTGGAGAAGGTAGTCGGGCCAAGTGCTCCATTGGTATGATCTTGTTGGCTGGACAGGTTGCTGATGCTTAAGGACACATTTTTTTTGCCACTTCAGGAGACACAAAGGTGAAGAGGAAGCCTACTTCTTTGAGTGCCCCTCTCAAGCAGAAGGAGGAATTTTCCCTGTTCAAAGTGTCCGAGGATGAATGCAAAGTGAAGATCTCGCCACAGCTGCTCCTCGCCACACAGCGCTTCCTTTCTCGAGGTGAGGGTGAACATGGGCTTTGTGCCTTGTTAGGTGGGTCCCAGGAGGACACTCAGTTGGCCTCCCACGAGGGCGAGCTTCTTTCTGCCACGTGGCTGAAGGCTGGCCTCTCTGTGCACCCTGAGACGGGCTGGTGCAGGTTCCCTGCTTGTCCCGTGGAGGCACTGTGTGTGAGCTTGGCTCTGGCCCTGCTCAGGCAGTCAGATGAGGGTTTGTGAGCTCTCCTGGTCCTTGTGGACACCATTCCTTCCCTCGGCCAGAGGTGGATGTGTTCAGCCCCCTGCGAATCTCCGAGAAGGTCCTGCTGCATCTGCTAAAGCACCCCAGTGTCAACCAGGAAGTGAAGTTTGACGAGAGCAACCGCCTGGCTGCGGACCATTACCTCTACCAGCGCAGCCGGCCGGTGGATTACTTTATTCTCATCCTACAGGTAACTGGGGTGGTGCTAGCTGGCTTCTCCCACATCCCCATAAAATAGGGGAGAGGGCCTGTGAGAAAAGGCAGGGAAACAAAGACTCCAGGGCCCCTCCCCTCAATAAGTGGGTTTAGTGCTTTCTCCTTGTGCCCCTTTCTGACAGGAATGATAATCCAGCATGCCCGTTTGCTTTTTCTCCCTTCTCCCACCCTCTCCTTCTTTCCTGCCCCCCTTTTCCCTCTTCTTTCCTCCCAGGGCAGAGTTGAAGTGGAGATCGGGAAAGAGGGTTTGAAGTTCGAGAACGGGGCCTTCACCTACTATGGAGTGTCTGCCCTGGCAGCACCATCGTCGGGTGAGCAGGGGTCCCCAGCCCTCAAGAGCCGCCACCTGGGCCAGCATTGCCTGGGATTGATCTACTTGCAGAGCCCACACGCCCTACACCCCCCTCCATTGCTGTGGACCTCCACACAACTCCTCCACTTAACGCTGTAGGCCACCACACACCACACATGCCTCCCGCCCTCGTTATTGCTGTGGACCTTCACACATGCCCCTCTCTAGTTATTGCTATGAACCTCCACACACCCCACTCCATTTACTTCTGTGAACCACACACCCACCCCAGGCCCCCCTCCAGTTATTGTCTTGGACCTCCAAGGCCTGGAGTCTAGCCATCCTTTCTGCCAGACCTACCCCTTTAGCATGGTTTGTGGCCCACAGCTGAGCCATCTGTGTTAGGACCCATTGGCATGTCTTATATCCGGGCAGGGGGAGGGGAAGGGACAGAGTTCCTTCAGGATTTCCCGGTGCACCCACTGCTGTGCTTTGCTGTCTCTGTACACCATCCTCCTCAGAGTCCTGCTCAGGATGATATGTGGGGGGATTCTACAGAATGCCTTCACCCTGGTTCTGCACAGCTGCCCGCACTGGCGTAGGCCCCTGTTACTGACTGTTCCTTCTACTAGTTCACCAGTCCCCGGTGTCCTCGCTCCGCCGTGATCTGCAGCCCGAGCCAGCAGATGGCCCCCGTCCTTCCACCTACTGTCCAGACTACACTGTGAGGGCCCTCTCTGACCTGCAATTTATTAAGGTGACCGCCTGGGCAACTCATTGGTTCTGACTTGCAACCAGCTATGGGTCCCCAGAGGTGTGAGCAGCTGGTCCCAGGTTTCTGTGGATTTAGAGTGAATTCAGTTGATTTCTACCAAGACTTCTCCAAGCAAGGGCGGGCTTGCTTTTCTCACAACCCCTTTGGCCCCTGGTGGTCTGGTCCTATTTCCAGACCTAGCTGGCTGATTTCCATTGGAGGTCTCCTCTGTTCTTAACCATTTCCAGGTTCTCTTCTTCCCACATTGTGACTCCAGTGTAGACTAGGGACTTGTAGGCGACAGGGAATGTTGTGCATTCTCGGCTTATCCCTGCTGCCTCACCAGACACACCTCCACCTGCAGGTTACGCGGCTGCAGTACCTCAATGCACTCCTGGCTAGCCGAGCTCAGAATTTGCCACAGTCCCCTGAAAGCATGGACGTCCAGGTTATCCCAGGCAGCCAGACCAGGCTCCTCTGTGACAAGACGGCGGCAGCACCAGGTGACTGCAGAGCATGTCCTTTGTCCAGACCCATGGGCGTGCATGTTCTGCCCTTCTTCCTGTTTGCACGCACATGTACGCACACACATGCACACAAAGGCTCTGCCTCTGCTCTGCATTCTTTATTCTTTTTCTTCACCTTTTTGTCTTAATTACCTTCTTATTCCTTTAAAAAAATTATGGTGACAGAAACTATAGACCAAGTCCTGTCATGTTCCTATTGAGGAAGAACCTCCAGTGGGTTTTCAGGGGCAGTAAACACGTGGGAGGAGATTGCTCATCTTTCAAATAGAATGTCCACTAATTACCATCAGGTTGGAATTGGGTCATAGCTGACCCTCCAGCAGGTTTTCAGATTCTGGAAATCACATGAGAGGACATTACCAAGCTTTCTCCCTCAGAGTAGCTGGTGTATTCAAACTACCTGCCTTTACGTTGGTAGTGCAACTCCTTTAGCCACTTCGCCACCAGAGCTCCCACATAAAATGACATTTATTAAGTCAGCATTTTTTCTTAAGAGCTTGTTAGGATGGTTTGACTTAGAGGTTATTTGCCAAATGTGAATAATAAGATCATGTTCAGACAGTTCGGGACATTTAGGATTGGGGTTGGGTCACAGATAGGCTTGACTTAGGCATTGGCTTGGTGAAATTATTCCAGAAGCCAGAAAGGCACCTGTTGAGTTGTTTGATCAAGTCCTGTTGATGCTTAATGCCTGTCATATCCGGGGTCCATTGTTGTTGTTGATTGCCTTCGAGTTGAGCACAACTCATAGCAAGCCTGTGAACAAAAGGCTTGAAGCCTTTCTATAACTTAGCGACATTTATCGACGTTCATAGAGTTTCTGGAGGCATGTTGTTTAGGAAGTGGATGCCACTCCTGCTTCCAAAGGATCCATTAAGAGCGGGAAAATGATACTGCAATCAGCAGGCTGTGTGTGAGGGGACCCAAGGCTAAGGTGGTAGACTCAACCCTCCTGTGTAAGGCAGGGGAAATGCTGAGTTCGGTGACAGCTCGGCCTTGCATGGAAGTGGTACAAGTGTCTGGGAACTTTCTTATTGTGATTCCAGAAGATACTCCAGTTGAGTTCCTTGGTTTGGGTTAGAGGTAGCCCACAGAGCCCCTGAGAGACTGGATGGCTCACCATCGTCTGCCCCTTGATGTGCTGACCAGCACTTACTGACACTGCCAGGCCTGATGTACCCGACACATGTAACTGCCTGCACTAGTGAGAGGTGGTAGGTGGTGGTCTCATGTTAGAGACAGGAAAAGCCAAGGTAGAGAGGAGTCACAGCCCCCAGTATGTGCCACATTAGAAACCAGAAGCTCTGCCTGGGAGCCTAGGCCTGCTTGCCCTGCTTCATAGGGAATGGTTTAGAGCTTGAGAAAGTAGAGATGGTTTTATAACGAAAAGTACTTTCTGCATAGTGACGTTCCATGCAGTTAGAGGGGACAGAGCACCCCGCTGTGGGCTGCCCGTGTGCCCACAGCTCTGGCTGTGGTGGGGTGGTAGGTCACAAGTGCAGGGGGGCCCGGATCCTTTCCTAAGTGAGTGCACTTCTGGGTGGCAGCCCTTTGTGGGGTTCATCTAGTTCTGGCTCTTCTCTGCCCTGGTGTTTTATTTCACGGGACTTTTCTTGTGCAGTTACCAGATTGAGGGGTCACATTGTTACACCAGATTTTGAGACTTCAAAGCTGAAACATGGTATTGATGTGGTTTGGTTTTCCCTGTGCAGTGGGAGCGCCCCTGGCTGCCTGAGCACCTTCTATCCTCTTGTGTGTACCATGTCTGGGGATAGACCAGGGCTGAGGAGGATAGCCTTCTCATCACAGCTTTTATCATATGCCAGGAACAGTTTTTGCTTCAGCTGCTCACTAAGCAGTCTTTTTTTTTTCTTTCCCAATAACGGCACAGGACTCTTTATTTCCTTTTATCATTAATTTCTCTTGTGCTCAGTGGGTCGTTTATGGAGCCTTGGCGGCATAGTTAAAGGTCTTGGCTGTCACCAGAAGGTTGGAGGTTCAAACCTACCAGCCCCTCCAGGGGAGAATGGTGAAACAGTGTGTTTTGTAAAGACCCACAGCCCTAGAAACCCTGTGGGGCAGTTACGCTCTGTCTGCCAGGTGTCTGAGTCAGAATGAACTCAGTGGCACTGGGTTTGGTGAATCACTTTGTCCACTGCTCCATAAGCATAATGTTATTTCTCTCTAAGTGTTTATCTGATCTTTATCCCAGTGAGGCTCACCTGCTAACCTTCTGTTCCTTCCTTGGCTTTGTGGGGCACTCCTGAGGGTTTATGCCCCTGCCCAGAAAAGCTGGCATCGTTCCCCCCTTACTGTCTTTGCTGGTGCCAGCACTTTAGTAGCACAGGGCAAAGGCAGTGCCTGGGAGCTTTGGGCGCAGAATACTCTACAGGAAGTACCTTTCTCTCCCCGCCTTACCCTTGTTAACTCCTGTTTCTAATCCAGTTAGTTGTTTAGAAAATACTTTGAGGACAACAATATTCAGCAATAAACAGCAGTGGAAAGCAATCTCTGGCCAAGGCCAACTACGGCTAGCTGCCTGGTTTTATAACGTTTTAGTAAAACGTAACTCTTTGTTCATGTTCATGTTCTTGAGCTGCAGCAGTGGAGCTGAGACTTGTGATAGGTACCCATGACTTGTAACTCCTAAAAATAGTGCCCTTCCCAGAAGAAGGAGGTCTGGTGGCTGGTCTGTAGGGAGTGACACTGCTAGCCCACAGGCGAGGTTGCTCCAACGGAGGATAGAGGGCTCCTTTGGGCCTTTTCTGGCCTTGCAAACCTGCTGGAAGGCTCCAGGAGGACTGCAGTGAGTTTGAAAAAAAAAATTCTGATTCTGAGCAGCTCTTCCCCATAGCTGTGTGTGTGTAAGGGAAAGTCTAGAAAGACTCTGGTGGGCAGTTTCCTGGCTGTCAGGAGGGGGTGGGCAGTGGAAGGCCTGTGGCTTGTCTTGGTGCTTCTTCCCGGTAGCCTGCCCATCTTTGCTGCCCAGCACAAGCTACGGGTCTGCCATTTCTGCTGAATGGCTTGTTTCCTCTCTCTTTCTCTGTCTGTCTCTTTGCTCTCTAGCCTGCCCAGTAGACCTTTCCCTCTTTGGCACACTTGGAAACGGCACTTGATAAATGACTGTGGACAAGTGAGCCTTTTTTGTTTTCAAAGAACCACCAAGGTAAATGTCTTCTCTTTCCTTTCTACAGACCTAAGGTGCTGGGGGTAGGCCTGCAAACAGCCCTCCCCTGGCCTGGGAGGCATTGCTGCGTGAGGGGTGCTTCCTGTCCTGTAGCAGCCTTTTTTTTTTTTCTCACTTCACTTTTCTTGGAGGAGATACAAAAATGGAGAGAGCATGGACTACTTGCTCAGCTCTGGAAATGGGGTTTCCTTCCAGCAAAGGGCTCTTTGCTCTCAGGGTGGGTCCTCCTACCCGGCACTGACCCCCACCTGGCTCGTCCTCCTACCAGGAGGGCATCCACTCTCAGTGGCCCAGCATCTTCCCAGCTGTGCCCTCCTGTCACCTCACCAATCCTGAGTCTCCTCTGCCAAACGCTTCCTGTCCTAAAGAGCATTTTTTAATTTCCTTTTCATAGGCTAGGCTGCCTATACTAATGTTGTTAACGTACTTTTCTTTCTCCTCTAGGGTCCCAAAGCAGAGCAGGCATCCCATCAGAGGAGAGTCCTGGGAGGAACCCAGGAGTTTAATTTCTTGCCAAGCAGCCCCATATCTGGGGAATGGACAAGCATGTGGGGACCTGGAGGGAGCCACAGCTCATGCTGTCCTTTCCCTGTCCCCTCCTGGCCATGTTTTAGATGGCCTGTATAGATGGTCCAGGGCTGTGTGCGTCAGGACAAGCTTCAGCGCCCGAGGCCTTCAGTATGCCCTGCTCTCCTTTAGGGAGATGGGGACCAGCCAAGCACAGCCCTCCAGGCCAGCTGCTGGGAGAAATGAAAGAATGCCATCATCTCTAGTCCTGAGGCCCAGTTCCTCTCCCCTGAGGATGGGACAGCACCGTGCATTTATACCTCTTCAAGCCAAGCCATGGTTTGTGTGACTGCTACCTTGACGTGGCAGTGACCTGGGCTCACTTTCTTTGCTAGCCCGCCACTGGCAAGCACCTTTGAGCAAACTGAGAGCACCAGTTCTGGCTAGGGATGCAAACCTGCAGCTTTGTCTACAACATCATATTTCAAAGCATGTTCCATGTGCCAATCCTGAAAGCCCACAAGTGTGTCCTTTCAGCCCTGGCTCATCCTGTGGAGCCTTCCTTTCTGGAGCCCTCAGAGTGAAGAGGCCTGCCTGGCACAGCCTGCCTTGGGGCCTGCTCTCAGCTACTCCTCTGCCTGTCTCATTGAGTTGCCATTAACAGTATTGTCAGTTGCTGTGTTTTAAGGAGAGGTCATACACAGGAGGAAGGATCATTAAGCTGTATCTAATCCTTCCTGATCTGATTCTAGGTGGTAGTAACCCTCAGATGTCTGCTCCACCTGTTCTATACCTTTCTCATAGGTCTGCAGGAGCTGTTGTGTTGACAACAGTGGGCATAGAGAGCAGTAAGGGAAGGAGTGGGATGTGTATGGACCAAGTAGATCCCTCATCACCTTTGTCAAAACAAAATTTTTCTTATCTCTCTTAAGATATATCACGTTCTTTGCATTTTTTTCCTATTCATACTAGGTATGAGACTTGAGAGGCGTGAGAATGTACTTGTTTTTTTCCTTGTTTATTTCTGTCTATCGTCATAGCTCTTCAGCTTTGGAAACTGGAGCCTCACGGGGCATAAGATCATAGATTGCGTAGAGAGGAAAGAGGATTTCTAGGATCTTTCTCAACGGAATTTGGGGCCTTATGAATGAAGCTGACAGCCCAAAGAATACTGGTAGTGCTTACTTAAAATTGGTATTAAGGACTGTTCTCATCAAGAGCAAAGCCAAGTGGAAAGTAGACTTGAAAATCATCTCTCCAGAACAGTGGTTCTCAACGTGTGTGCACGTGGGAATCACCTGGCCCCGCTTCACAGACTCATTTCATTGGTCTGGATGTTAGATTATTTTTTTAAAAATAGTAATGATTTTAGATTCTAGATGTTCCCATTTACCCATTACTCAGCTTTCCTGCTGTTAACCTCTTCCATAACCATGGTAAATTTATCAAAGCTAAAAAAATTAATATTGATACAGAGCAGTATTATTACTTAGTCTATAGACTTGGTTTCAGTTTTTCCAACAATTCCCTTTTTCTGTGGGGATTCAATACAGGATACCAAGTTCATTTAGAACTACTGCCTTCTCTTTTTTTTCCTTTTTGTTTTGAAATAATTAGACATTCCGAAGAGCATATATATCACACAATTTCTTTCAGTGGTTACTTCTTACATAATTGTAATAGCAACACCAAGAATTAGACATTGGTACACTGAATATGCAGTTCTGCGTCAGTTTAATATAGAGATTTATGTGGCCACAAGAACTCCTCTTCCCTCCCTGTGGTCCATAGTAAACAACTGGACTACTTGATGCAGATGAGCAATCAAGATACAGAACTATACCATCACCACAAATACCTCCCTCAGGCCACCCTACTGTAGTCATGCCCAATTTCCCCCTTCATCCCTAGCAACCATTAATGTCTTTTTCCATCTATAATTCTGTCATTTCAAGGATATCATAGAGTCATACTGTATATAACAGGAATGGACATTTTTTTCCCTTGCATAATTCTGTGGAGATTGATCTGGGCTGTTTTGTCAATAGGTTGTTCGTTTTTATTGCTGAGGAGTATTCCACAGTATAGATGTACCCTAGTTTTGTTTAACCATTTACCCATTGAACCATCTGGGTTGGTTTAGGCTATTACCAATAAAGCTGCTCTGAACATTCCTGTGTAGGTTTTTGTGTGCTTGTTGGTCTTCCGTTCTCTGGGGTGAAGTACCAACAGTGTAGTTTCTAGATCTTGTACTTGCATGGTCTTGTATTCCAGAGAAACTGTCAGGTCTCGACAGAGCCCACAGGACCATTTTCCGTTTACCATCAGCAGTGAAAGAGTGAACTAGTTCTTATGTATTCTTTCCAGCTTTGGGGGTGTCATTGAATTTCCCCCCCTTATTAGATGTGTAATAATGCTGCTGTTTGGTGTGGTCATGTCCACTAAGACTCACTGGCCACCCTGGGAACAGCAGGTTGGAACTGTACCGTCTTTCAGCTCCCTCATGATCTTGGCCATGCTCAAGCCCATTAATGTAGTCACTGTATTAATCCATCTCATGGAGGATCTCCCTCTATTTTGTTAACCACATGATTTAGCAAGTATATTTTTTTCCAAAGACTGGAATCTCCTTAAAACATGTCCAAAGTATGTGAGATGAAGTTTCACCGTCCTTGCCTCTAAGGAACACACTGGTTGCACTTCCTCCAAGACAAGTGGGTTTGATATTTTGGCAGTCTGTGGTATATTAGGTATCCTACACTGCAATTCAGAGGCATCAGTTCGTAGGTCTTCTCTAGTCACTGTCCAGCTTTCAGATGTATATGAAGCATGACTTTGACTAGGCACACCTTAGTGTTCAAACTAGCATCATTGCTCTTTAAAACTTTGGAGAGGTCCTTGACAGCAGATTTGTCCAATGCAATATTTTATTTCTTGACATCTGCTTCCATGGATGTTGATTATAGATCCAAGTAAAAGAAAATTGTTGACAACTTCAATCTTCATCTATCATGTTGTTGCCTGTTGGTTCAGTGGTGAGGATTTTTGTTTTCTTGGGTGTTAAAGGTATAATTCATATTGAAGGCTGAAGTCTTTGGTGTTCATCTTCACTTTGTGCAAGCAGGGTGGTGGCATCTTCATTATTCCAGTGTTAGTTCCCTCTTGATGTCTTCAGATAATCCACCTGTTGAATGATGTGCTTAGCACACAGGTTAAGGAGGTAGGAAGAAAGGATAAAAAACCCTGACAAGACACCTTTCTGGATTTAAAACTATCTCTTGTGTGGATAACAGCTGTTTTTAGGTTTCACATGAGCACAATTAAGTGTTCTAGTAGTCTCATTCTTCTCAGTGTTAGCCATAATCTCTTACGATCCTTACAATCAAATGCAATAAAAATACAAAAATCGTTTCAGGTATTTTCTCTTTATTTTTTTTCTGAGGTCTGACATCATCAATGATATTTCTTGTGCCATGGTTTCTTCTGAATCTGTCTTGAAATTCTAGCAGTTTCCTTTCAGTATAATGTTCCAGGAATTCTAAAATAATATTCAGCAAGATTTTACTTGTATGCAGTATTAATGATACTGTTCTGTTATTTCTACACCTTGCTGGGTCACTTTTTAAAAATGGGAACAGATAAGGATTTCTTCTAGTCAGTTGGCCGGATAGCTGTCTTCCAAAGGCCCTATCACAGACTAGTGAGCCTGACCAGGGGCTGCATCTGTTCGCTAAAACACTTCAGTTGGTATTCCTTCAATTCTTGGGACCTTATTTTTTTGCCAGTTACTTCAGTGCAGCTTTTTCATCTACCTTCAGTACCATGGGTTCTTTAATCATGTTACCTCCTAAAATTGTTCAAGGTCAACCAATTCTTTATGTACAGTGACTCTCTAGTCTTTTCATCATCTTTGGAGTCTTCTTTCAGTATTTAGCATATAGAATTGCAACTTGAGGCTTAAAATTTGTCTTTTCTTTCAGCTTGAGAAAAGCCAAGCATGTCTTCTTGGTTGTCTAATTCTAGGTTTTTGCACACTTCTCCATAACATTTTGTCTTCGTGAGCTCTTTGAAATCTGCTCACCCCTCCTTTTTCTGACCCTTGATTTAGTTTTTCTTTGCTTAAGAGCAAGTTTCAGAGTGTCTTCTGAGGCCTGTTTGATCTTGGCTATGCTGCTGGAAGCTCCGACATGAGTACTTCAAAACCAGCAGGATTGCTCATGGTGGACAAGTTTCAGTAGAGCTTCCAGAGGGAGGAGTTTGTTCTATTCTGTGCTTTGCTATTCATCTATTTCTGGACTAACTGGCCTTTGAAAGTCCTAGGAGTGGAATGGGAACACTGTTCTGTATTATGCTGGAAGATGAGCTCTCACATTGGAAGGTACTCACAATGCAAATAAGAAGAGCTGCATCTTTGTGATAGGGAAGGAGGAAAGCCTAGCCTAAGTGAAGGACTTCCATTGGTTGTGCAGACTCAGAGAAACAGCTGCAGACATCATTAATAATTGAAACATGGAAAGTAGTAAATATGAATCTAGGAAGATTAGAAATTGTAGAAAACTAAATGTGATGATGCATAAGGATCCTAGGGCATTAGTGAGTTGAGATGGACTATTAGTCTTTTGGAATTAGTCCTGTAATTTGTTCCAGGAAGGATAAAGAGGGATGGTATCATATCCATGGTCATTTAAGGATCTGTTGTAAAATACAGCACTGTCACTGATAATATCCAAACATATAAGGAAGACTTGTTTTTACAACCGTTATTCAAGCATGTGTACCATCCCAAAAGTCAAGAGGAAGAAATGGGATTTCTAACAATTGTAGTCTGAAATGGTGGGAAAATAGGGCCTTGGTAGCATGAGATTAAATGATAGAATTTTGTATAATCAATGATTATTCATTGCAAATACTTAAAAAAAACGCCACACAACAACAAATCACCACTATATACATGGATCTTGCCTGATGTCCTACATAGTAAATGACTAGCTCTCTGGAG